ACGCCTCCCCCCTTCCCACCTTGCGACCATATTTGTTTGAGGGTAAAAATGACAAGCATTGCATGTTTGTGTAACAATACAAGGTTTACGAACTCAGAGTTTAATAATATTCTTTTATTAGAGTTTTCATTACTGTAATTAAAGAGACTGTATTCATTCCTGTAATTGAAGGGACTGTATTCATTCCTGTAATTAAAGAGACTGTTTTCATTACTGTAATTAGAGAGACTGTATTCATTCCTGTAATTAGAGAGACTGTTTTCATTACTGTAATTAGAGAGACTGTATTCATTCCTGTAATTAAAGTGACTGTATACGTAATATGGGAATGAATGTAGTCTCTTTAAGTTACACCGTTTAGTTTTAACATTAAAATCTGAAACATATATTTAAGTTTTCAATATACAGTGATGTGAGTAACTTATAACAATCTATTACTTTTTGTTCTTAAATCTTTTTAAATTCGAAATTTGAATGAATTGAAGCATTAATGGTCTTATTGCATGCAGGGCAGGTCCTGGTTCATTTGAATTATTAATTAAATCTTTTAATTATAAATTTAAAAGATTTGGATTCTAAATGTCCATTAAGTTGAATTTGGATCTTTTTGGAATATACAATAGCAATATTTGCTTTACAGTCAGTGTTAAGAATATTCTTTTATCCCCCTGTAGATAATAATATTGTCTAAATAGAGTAGTTTTCTTTTATCCCCCTGTATATATTAATATTGTCTAAATACAGTAGTTTTTTTTTTATCCCTAATAGGTATTATTATTGTCTAAATACAGTAGTTTTCTTTTATCCCCCAGTAGATAATAATATTGTCTAAATACATACAGTAGTTTTCTTTTATCCCCCTGAAGATAATAATATTGTATAAATAGAGTAGTTTTCTTTTACCTCCCTGTAGGTATTATTATTGTCTAAATACAGTAGTTTTCTTTTATCCCCCTGTAGGTAACAATATTGTCTAAATACAAAAGTATTCTTTTATCCCCCTGTAGGTATTACTATTGTCTAAATAGAGTAGTTTTCTTTTATCCCCCTGTAGGTAACAATATTGTCTAAATACAAAAGTATTCTTTTATCCC